AGTTGACCATTCTATGTTTTCATGGCATGTATCTATTCCCCTGAATCAAACAAATGCCAAACTGAGGACCGAAGTCAACCGCTAGTGAAATAAGTTATTACTCTCCTATTCCTATGGATGCTAATATGAAATGCCATTAGTATTAGTTACCCTAAAAATGTTACAGTTTAAGTCATACTGGCCACTATCTAATTCAAGATACATGGATGCTACTTGTGCATTATTTATAGGAAATTAACCATGTGCATTGAGAATTGTCAGGTTTTACAGTACTGATTGTTGGCACAGCTTAACTGTAGTTGTACTGTTAAGATAGAGCTGTTTCTCACTATCTAGGACACTTTCATGTGGTCTTTTCATGAGTGCATCCTTATGAACAATGGAAATGAAAGTTCAGTGGCAAAGTGGTCCTTTATTGTTGTCAAACTCACAATAGTACTGGGAGGATATTTTGGGTACCTATCAGGTCATCTTGTTAGAGTTTTGCCCACATCAAAGTCTAATGTGCGCTAATATTCAGTGCCCCACATCAGGTTTGCGCACAGTAGAATTTGCTTGTGGTGGGGGTCTGTCCACGAAAGGAACATTTCAGGTTTACATGCTTGCCACTGAGTCTGATATCATTAGAGGGATCTTCCATTATTAGCTGGGGATGGCATCTTCATGAAGTCCCACGTTAGGATAGCTAGGCAGCCCAAAAAGTTCTCTTTTCCCCCTTTTGTAATTAGTATCTTTCACATCACAGTTTGTGGTAGTGGCAACGATCTGGAAAAAAAAGCTCCTTTCCTGAATCATTTTAACTTTTTTTTAACATATTAAAGCCTCATGGTAGAAGCACTTGTGCCACTAGACATACTAGCACGGGCACTTTCTTCTGTCAATCTCTGCCTCACGTATTGCTGTCAAAATTATTATTGCGTGACAGGACCTCAGTGAAATCCTGTTCGCTGGGAAAGTTGGCACACCCAAAACTGTTGGCTGGCAACCCTTTTCCTGGTTACTAGATTTGCAAAAGGTTACGGCTATTTGTCTTCTGCGTCCACCAACCACGGAGTCACACCCTGAGTGGTGGGCTAACCATTCTCCCTTTCCCAATTTGGGGTCGCCACTCAATCCTCTATGATTCCTAGGTCCTACCATAAGCAACCTTGGAAAGCGTGTGCTCTGATCCCTCAACATTTGAAGAAGGATTGTAATTGAAGTGGTGTACATAGCAGCCTTAGAAATACTTGCACGGCAGCTAGGAGAACAGGGTTCAGCTACTATTCTCTAGTGGAAAGGATGGAACGGCAGCTAGGAGTACAGGGTTCAGCTACTATTCTCTAGTGGAAAGGATGGAATTTATAGTAGAGATGTGGATGTATGCTCAACCGGCAATGAGAGATCTTCTGGCCAAAGCAACCGGCACTGAGGAAATATGCTGAAACCGCAATGAGGACTATGACTGCCCAATAAAGGCAATTTGCTAGGTTTCAGGTATTTCCGTGGTGACTTGTATTTCCATCTTTACTTCTTTTTCTTTCTGTTATGTTACATTCAATGTAGATGATGTAATGACGCAATGGGGCACCTATATGTTGCATCTTCGATTTTTCCTAATTTGTTAGATGTCAATTTTTGAGCTTACTATTGCTTCCATTTCCTGAGTGGGTGGATTGTTACTTTGGTTTCTTCACTATATGACTATAGTGCTGTTTATCCACTCACTTTTGCGTAACTAAGCCCTCTTCTATTTCAACAGTCCTGGTACTGTAATTTTAGTACTAAAAAGCTGCCAAACTGGAGATACTTGGGCTCTCCGACATCTACCTACTCATACTACAGGTGAGTGCTCCTCCTATTCGAGTTCTTCCTATTCATCCAGAAAGGCCAGAACATGAATAAACTTAATTTGATCTTGGTGCTTAAATAGTTATTGATACAACCATGTACGGTCTAGCCCATTTCCAGCTCTACCAAGAGATTCACTTTGTTCAACTGATTATTTTCATTGTGATAGTTCAACAATTTTCAGTGGGCAGAGATTTCCTGGGAGCTCGGTGCAGAGAGCACTCAGATTTCTTTGAAGGCACAGCAGGCAGGACCCAATGACCCATGTCCTAAGCCAGCAGCTAGCCAGCACTAGAATAAACTGATGGAGTAGTGGACTAGGTTGTGTTGCTTCCAGATAATGGGGACGACAATAAAAGGGTGGTAAAATAAATCCAAATCAAGAGAATAAGCCCTTTGATGTGATGAAGCTGTGCTGTCTAGTTTTGTAATGCCAAGCGGATGCATGGGAGCAGTGGTGTGTTACCTAATTCAGTCAACAGATGAGCAGGTCCGGAGCTTGGAGGGGAGGAGGCGGCCGCGGCGGCGGCAGTCCCGCGGTGGCGGCGGGTGACCGCCCTCCCCCGGTGGCGGCGGTGGTGGAGGGGAGAGAGTGCTCGCCGTCGCCGTTGCTGCTGGGGCCCACCCCACCCCACCCTGAGGAACGGGAGCGAAGGAGGGAGCACGGGCGGCGTCGGCGGAGGGATCGTCGTCCAGTGCGCCCGGTGCCGCTATCTCTCTCTCCGTCTCTCCGGTGGCGGCAGCTGTGGGGACCGCCCGGTGGGTGGCGGTGGTGGAGGGAGGAGGCCGGTGCCATGGCCAGGAGGCGTGTGCGGTGTGTGTGTGTGTGTCGTCGTGCACGATTTGAGGAGAAACGGGCGTGTGTTGAATGTTTACATTTCGAAAGTGCCTAGATGTACGGCACTCGGTAAACTCAAGTACCGCAGCCCAATGACATGTGGGGTACATGTTTACCGAGTGCCCAGATCTACGGCACTCGGTAAACATAAGCCTGGTACATTACCGAGTGCCCATATCTACGGCACTCGGTAAACAGAAGCAACCGTGGTAGAAGTGGGCCGTGGCTAACCTTTACCGAGTGTTTCAGTCACACTCGGTAACTGTATCCATTATTTCATGCAAAACAAAAAAGAAAAAATGCCAATTTAATCCTAAAATTCACCAAACTTTCACACGAACTATTTCATGTCATCTATTTACTATCTAAAAAATTCCAAGTTCAAATCATATTGTTGAATTTCACTCTTAATAGAAATCCTACTCGTCATTGTGAATGTTTAGCATCTCTTTGGGAGATGTACCGGTTAAACAACGCATTTAATGTAAAAATACTTCCAAAAACGTTACGAAATTTTTTCTATAACATAGATGTATGCTTCAATGTTAATTCTTCCAATCTTGTGATTTATCAAGTTCGATTTTAATTATTACAATTAAATTCACACGATATGTTCCTAATTTTCATAAAGAATGAAACTTTTGTGAAATATAGTAAATAAATTGAAATAAACACCATATTTTGGAATGGAGTACTAAATACCATATGTGGATAGAGGAAAAAGAATGAAGGGAAAAACAAGAAATTTGGTTGAATTTTACCGAGTGTTGGGCCAATACACTCGGTAAAATATAGTGTTTACCGAGTGTATTGGCCCAACACTCGGTAAAAGTTTCATGTTTGCCGAGTGTATGATCATAACACTCGGTAAACATGTCATGCCCTGACGCGCCGTCCCGGTCACGGTTGCTGTCCTAATTGACGTGGCACGTTAATACCGAAAGTGACCATTTTTACCGAGGCAGTGCCCCCGTCGGTAAACTTGTAGTTTTACCGAGTGTGCGAATATACCGAGTGTGCTGACTCGGTAAAGAGGTTTATTACCGGGTGTTTATGTTTTCCGAGTGTTGGCACTCGGTAAATAATGTTTTCCGAGTGCCCCGACTTTTCACACTCGGTAATTTTCGGAGCACTCGGTAAATACACAGTCTCCGGTAGTGGGTGTTGGTTTTCTACTTCTGTTTTTGGTTTTTAACTGAAGAAACCGAGTTGCGAGGCGTCGCTGTGTCTGCACCTCCGGCGTGCCTTGCTTGCTCCGCCGCCAGATCTTGCTACAGATGCGTCGCCGCCGGACCCCAGCTCCCCGCGCGTCACCAGAGCCTGCTTCCTGCTCGCCACCGCACCAAGGGGATCCCTACTCGCGGCGTCACGCGAAGAGCTGCGCCCTGCGCTGCGAATTTGCTGGTCCTGTTGGGTTAGGGTTAGGGTGCGGATGCGGATGAGAGTCAGACCGTTGGGCCGTGTGGGACTGGGGCCTGGACGCCTGATGGGCTGCTCTCTTCGCGACGCTAGAGAGAGGTCCGGTGGCTTCAGTTTCAACGGTTCTTCAGTTCAGGTAGAGCACAAAACCGAAACAGAAGCTGAACACTGAAGTTCTAGAACTCAAGAACCGAAACCAAAAACTGAAAAAATCAATATAGCGGTTTGATTCGGTTCTCGGTGAAAAAGTGACTAGCCTGATCTAAACAGACCCGTGCCCTTATATAAGCTGAAATGGAACAAATAGCTCGAACTTATCTTTTTTGGCTCACATCATAGACATCTAAGGGCAGTCCCAATGAAAGAAATTAGTAGTTTCTATAACATAGGATACCGCACCAAAAAAGTACTGCTTTCCAACCTATGGTTTCTATGAGTAATAATTATTTTATCTTTCTCTCTCCCAACTCTATCTTCTTTCTCCATTGGGAGTGCGACACGAGCTCCCTAAAAACTGGTGGTTTCTCCCTAATGGCGATTTCATAGTTTCTTGGTGCATTGGGTCAAGAGTAGACCTGATTTCTTCATGAAGAAACCATTTCTATGATTTTTGCTCTCTTTCTTCATTAATTACGTTGTCATGTCAGCGTTTTACCTACGTGGCAAGTCATTTAATGGGGATAGAAACCATCGTCAATGCACCATTGGGACTGCCCTAACTAAAACATAGGAAAAATGATATGTTAAATTTGTTTCAAAGTACGTGTCAGCACCAATCAACAAGCTAATCACTCATCATTGGTCGCTTGTTGTATATCAATTGATTCTGTCGCGTATTCATGAGCAGGTGCAGGTAGGTGCTGATCAACTGATAGACTGATAGAGCCACATTGCTGAAGTGGAGTCAGTAGGCATGAGAGCGGACGGGGACGACGACGGCAAGACCTCGGCGTTCCGGTGCCTGGACGCGGCGCGGTACACGGTGGCGGCCGTGGTAACCGTGCTCATCGTCGCCGTCGTCGTCACCTCCCTGAAGGTGGTGCTCCGTCCGGAGTCCCTGCGCCTCTCCGTCGTCGACGGCGTGGTGTACTCCACTCCGCTGCCGGCGAGCGAGGCGGTGACCCTGCAGCTCAACCTCCGGGCCGAGAACCCCAGCGGCCGCGCCCGGATGTACTTCCTCAACGTCACCGCGTACCTCTTCGACGGCGCGACGCCGGCGTCGACGCCGACGCCCGACGAGGACTGCATCATCTTCTTCAACCCGACCGACGGGGCCGTGCGGCAGGAGATGGCGGTGGACTTGATGACGAGCGTGGAGGCGACGAACGACCCTGGCGTCATGAACCAGACCTACTTCGAGCTGCTGTATGCGGATGGCCGCGTCATCGGCGACATGACGCTACGGGTGGACGGCAGCCTCGTGACGGAGGTGAGCTCCGGGTTCAACATGACCCGTCTGCAGGTCACCTACTACTGCCGGCCGCTCCTCGTCGGCGGGAGCAAAGGTGGCAAGGTCTCCATGGGCAGGAAGGACGTGCTCTGCACGGATAACCTGGGCAGTCAATGATTGATTCTCCATGGTTACGCCGCCCACTTGCAGGAGTAGTTAGTCCATGAGGGAACCAAAGTGTGTTTCTTGTTTCAGAATCAAGCGCGGTAGAGTCCTGTGTATTTTGTTGTTATTATGTAATCTATCTACCCTGGCACCTGTGTATTTTAAATTCTGGGCTGTGGCAGGCGAGTTCAATGAGAACTAACGTACTATGCAACTTCATTTTGTTTAACGCTCGAATCAAAGCACATACCGCAATATATCGGATACGAGGGGTGCATGGTTACTCCTTCTCGTTGTCCATGTTTAGACATATGTATAGTATATTAAATATAGACTAATTACGAAATTAATTACACAGTTTACGACTAATTTACGAGATGAATCTTTTAAGCCTAATTAATCTATGATTTGACAATATGGTGCTACAGTTAACATGTGCTAATAACGGATTAATTAATTTAATTAATTCATCTCATGGAATGCTGACGGATTTTGTAATTTATTTTTTTATTAGTATCAAACACCCCATACAATACTTTCATGTGACACCTCCTAAATTTTAGTCACTGAATCTAAACACTCTTTTATTCTTTTTAAATTTTGAAACAGTATAGAGACGTAAGCACTCACATATATATGCACACACCCTCCTCTTATTGAAAACTCCAATGACAAAGCCGAATACAGGTCTTGATGATGATATTGTCGAAGTCATTATATATAGCCTATCTCGTTGTGGATGTGGGTATCTAGAACACAACTTTTTCTCTTAAAATTAAGGTTTTGCATTCAGTATCCTATTTTTCTCTCCAAAAAACATGTGGTTTTGTAACTCTTAAAAATATATTTGGAGAAAAAAAGAAGGTCATCTCCAAGAGTTTTCAATAATCCACTCCTAAAATATAGAAGACAATTTTACATCAGGAATCCTATACTATTTCTAGATTATTGTAACCATATTTATATATTCTTTCTCTCTCGTACATTTACATCGAGAATCCTTTCCTACTCCTTATTCTTTCCCACACCCTTTCACTTTTAGTTTGACCGACAAATAGGCATGGGAAAGCAGTATCCGCGCGACCGCAACTACGCGCAAAGTTACGCACGACGGGGGAGGATTTTCCAAGTGCGTAAATTTTAAGAGCACGAATTAGGAGTTGTTGGAGAGGGATTTTTTCTCATCTTGCTAAAACTAAGGATTGGTAAGGGAAATATGGTACTTTCGGAGATGCTCTAATACAGTCAGAAGTAATTGGCATGGAAATCAAATTAAAGATTATATCATGTACGTAAGTTGCCTTCATGCAATGAGAGGGATTGATATCACGTACGTAACGCCCTGTTCGTTTGGGCTGGTTTGGCTTATAAGCCATGACTGAAAGTACTATTGGCTGATTTGGTGTGAGACAAAAATACTGTTTGTTGACTGATAAATCATAGCTTATAAGCCAAATATGACCAAGCAAACAGGCAGGATACCCAACCCTCTAGTCCTGAAACACAAACACTCCAGTAAAATAGGTTTGACTCATCTCAACCCACTCGGACCCTCAACCAAGCACAACCTAACTAAACGTGCGCACATTATTATTCATTCGATCATATGGTGAAGCTGCTACATACTCAACATCCGTGTGTGCGTGGTGGTGGTTCGATCTGTGTACACGTGTGGCCTCACTTCCTTGCTGCCTATATAACCGAGTGTCCGAGTTGCACCGCAAGCCAGTGAAGTATCTAGAGACACTAAGAGAGCAAGATACACTGCACGACACATACCCTGATCTTACTTGGCACGGCTAGCCATGGCGGATGCTGTCGTCTTGCTTCTGTTCCTTGTGCTCAGCCACAGCTTGTCCTGTTCTTCTTCTCCTACTACTAGTGTCCCTGTCGTCCGTGCAGCAGTAGACGCGGAACACGAGTACACCTTTGTGGCGATCAGCTCGCTGAAGCCCAAAGCTGCTTGCACCGGACACAGGGGTACGTGCACGATCCCATCGAAAACACGCACGCACAGCTGAAAAAAATTGATCTGAAGCTAGTGATACTACTGAACGAACTGAATGATGTTGGTTGTTGCAGTGTCTCCACCTCATGGTCACCAGAACGCCACGTGGCTACGACTGAGTCTCTCCCATGGCCCCTGCTCGCCGCCGTCGTCGCACCGCCGCAAGGGGCCGTCATTGGCCGAGCTGCTACGGCAGGACGAGCTCCGCGTGCAAAACATCCAGATGACACTGCTGTCTGCTGGTGATGACGACAATGCCGCCGACGATGAGAAGGTCAAGAAGCGCCCGGCGAAAAGCACCACAACCGCTATGGAACACGGGCCCGTAGTCGACGTCAACGTCGGCTCAGCAAGTAGCATTTCCACGGTACTACGAACGAAACTATTTTTTTCTCTGTCACCCAGATTATTCAGTTTTCTTCTATGTCTAATTATTAAGTAAGCTCGCGATCGATCGATCCATCTCCCTTTTCCTGCAGTCTAGGATTGATCCGATGGCCACCGGCGGCGGCGGCAGGAGGAGGCGGAGCATGCCGGGGACGGTGCAGACGATGATGGTGGACACCGCCAGCGACGTGCCGTGGGTGCAATGCCACCCGCCGCCGACGGGCGGTAGCAGATTCTTCGACCCAACCAGGTCGCCCACCTACGCCCCCTTCCCGTGCGGCTCGCCGGCGTGCGCGCGTCTCGGCCCCTACGGCAACGGCTGCATCAACGGACAGTGCCAGTACCGCGTCACCTACCCCGACGGGTCGTCGACGCTGGGCACGTACAGCTCCGACCTGCTCACCATCACCCGCACCACCGCCGTCCGCAGCTTCCAGTTCGGCTGCAGCCAGGCCGAACAAGGCCTGAGCCAGGCCAGCAGCAGCTCATCCGGGACCATGTCGCTCGGCGGCGGCCCGGAGTCGCTGGTGTCCCAGACGGCGGCCACCCACGGCAACGCCTTCTCGTACTGCGTCCCGCCTACGCCCAGCGACGCCGGGTTCTTCGTCCTCGGCAAGCCGCCGTCTTCCAGGACGAGGACGTTCGTGGCGACGCCGATGCTGAGGTTGACCCAGGCGCCCACGCTGTACCGGGTCCTCCTCCGCGGCATCACCGTCGCGGGGCAGCGGCTCAACGTGCCGGCGACAGTCTTCGCCGCCGGCTCCGTGATGGACTCCCGCACGGCCATCACGCGCCTGCCGCCGACGGCGTACCAGGCGCTGCGCGCCGCGTTCCGGAGCAGGATGGGCGCATACCGCCTGGCGCCGCCTAAAGGGAGCCTCGACACCTGCTACGACTTCACCGGCGTCATGGTCGTCAGGGTGCCGAGGGTCGCGCTGGTGTTCGACCGGAACGCCGCCGTGGAGCTGGACGCCTCGGGGATCCTGCTCGACGACTGCCTCGCCTTCGCGCCCAACGGCGACGACCGCGCTCCGGGGATCATCGGCAACGTGCAGCAGCAGACCATCGAGGTGCTCTACGACGTCGGCGGCCGGTCCGTGGGCTTCCGGCGCGGCGCGTGCTGATCGAGCTCAGCTACGTGCTGCAGTGCGGCCGGGCAGGCTGCCGGCGGCGTACCGTGCATGTCCCGCTAGCTTTGTGCTACCAATAACTACCGATTTGGCATTCGGCATTATATTTCAGAATGTATTTGCTACTGGTTTATGTATTTTACGTTGGATAAATTCTATGTATCATACCTTGTTTGGTTCAATTACACTACCTTAAACAGTATAATTACCGAGTGACTGAGAGTTTGTCAAGTGCATTTCATTGGGCACTCGGCAAACATACTCTTTTCCGAGTGTTTTCAATTAAACACTCAACAAATATATAGCACTCGACAAAATCCAACTTTGCCGAGTGTCTAATAAAAAACACTCGGCAAACATAGACACTCGGCAAAGTAGAGGCACGTGCGCTGGGCGTGCGGTGGCCATGTGACGGCCGTGTTGGGTGCGCCGCCCTGCCATTATAACTTTACCGAGTGTCCGTTAGAGACACTCACAACAACAACAACAACAACAACAAAGCCTTTAAGTCCCAAACAAGTTGGAGTAGGCTAGAGTTGAAACCCAACAGAAACAATCAAGATTCAGACACGTGAATAGCTGTCTTTCAAGCACTCCTATCTAAGGCTAAGTCTTTGGGTATATTCCATCCTTTTAAGTCTCCTTTCATTGTCTCTACCCAAGTCAACTTCGGTCTTCCTCTGCCTCTCTTCACGTTACTATCCTGGCTTAGGATTCCACTACGCACTGGTGTCTCTGGAGGTCTTCGTTGGACATGTCCAAACCATCTCAACCGGTGTTGGACAAGCTTCTCTTTAATTGGTGCTACCCCTAATCTATCACGTATATCATCGTTCCGAACTCGATCCCTTCTTGTATGACCGCAAATCCAACGCAACATACGCATTTTTGCGACACTTATCTATTGAACATGTCGTCTTTTCGTAGGCCAACATTCTGCACCATACAACATAGCAGGTCTAATCGCCGTCCTATAAAACTTGCCGTTTAGCTTCTGTGATACCCTTTTGTCACATAGGACACTAGATGCCTGCCGCCACTTCATCCATCCTGCTTTGATTCTATGGCTAACATCTTCATCAATATCCCCGTCTCTCTGTAGCATTGATCCTAAATATCGAAAGGTATCCTTCCTAGGCACTACTTGACCTTCCAAACTAATATCTTCCTCCTCCCGAATATTAGTGCCGAAGTCACATCTCATATACTCAGTTTTAGTTCTACTGAGTCTAAAACATTTGGACTCCAAAGTCTCCCGCCATAACTCCAGTTTCTGATTCACTCCTGTTCGGTTTTCATCAACTAGCACTACATCGTCCGCGAAAAGCATACACCAAGGGATGTCCCCTTGTATGTCCCTTGTGACCTCATCCATTACTAAGGCAAATAAATAAGGGCTCAAAGCTGACCTTTGATGTAGTCCTATCCTAATCGGGAAGTCATCCGTATCTCCATCACTTGTTCGAACTCTAGTCACAACACTGTTG